CCTCACGGGTCGTGGGTTGACAACGCCGGGCCCGAATCTGTCCGAGAGGCTGTTTCGCGGCTACTGGCTCATGGATCAGTGGGAGGTGGAGCGGGAATCGTTTGCCCAGACCTACAATGACGACTTTGATCTCGATGATGTCTCGCTCATGCTCTGTTACGTGTCAGGCAATTTCCCCTTGACAGTCGAAGCCGGCGACGCCGAAGGCGAAGAGGTGACGCTGAACCAGGCCATGTCCTCCGCACTGTCATCCCTTCGAGATCTGCCCGCCACTGCTCCGGAGTGGGAACGCCAGATACCCGACTTCGTCGCTTCGGTATCCCGGCTGATCGAGGAAAAGGCCGCCCAACTGCGTTGGTCCGAGGATTTCGATGCAATCCTGCTGGAAGTCAGGCAAAACTACGGGGAACTGCTTGAATTCTTCGAACAGGATACCGATCAGTGGGCCGCTGCAAGGGTATCAGAGGAGGCAGATACTACCGCGGCTCTGCGGCTGGCGGGTGAATTGCGGTCAAAGCTGACGGGGTACCATCCAATCCACGAACGCGCTCCCAGCTTCAGCGAAGAGAGGGAACGGATACAGCAGCGCGATGCCTTGCAGCCCGCGATCCTGGAGACCCTGCAACAAATGGCAGCGCTGATGACGGGGGAAATACCAACGCAGGCCCCGGACGCTGATCGCATTTCAATCTCCGGACCACCTACCTACCCTGAAAAATCAACACTCCTTGCCCCCGCCACCCGGGAACTGATCACCGACGCGCCTCCTCAGGCAACAAAGCAACCCACATCTGAATCAAAGTCAGCACCAACTTCACCAACCCCTGGGCAAGCCCCGTCCGCGCAATTAGCTACGAGGAAAGCAGCCACTTCCGTCGCGACCGCAGACTATCCCGCGGAGTCCACAGTCGCAGAACTGGAGGCATTGCAGTCGGAGAACACTGGACTGCGCGACAACACAACCGCTCTCCGCTCGGAGAACTTGAACCTTAGGAACGAGGTGGAGACTCTCAGGACCGAGCTCTTCAGCACCCAGGAACGCGAAGACTCCTGGCGGATGGCCTACCGCTCCGCCGTGGATGGTTCCTACGAGGAAATTGGCGTGGCCGCTCCGGTAGTCGAGAGCGTTCATGACGCGGTGGAAATGGCCAAGGGCCGCTTCCGTCAGGAGATGCTGTTCTCACCCAACTCGGAGTCAAGCGTAGAGGACAATCCTTTCACTGACCCGGCGAGAGTGTGGGAGGCCCTGCAGTGGCTGGGTACCACTTACTACGCCTCCAGAATGGGCCGACTGAGGGTCACAGACTTCAATCAGTCGATCAAGGAAGCATGCGGCTGGTGGTACAAGAGCGACCAGGGGGAGACCACCGTTTCCCGGTATGAGAAGTCCTACACCACCCGAGTCGACGGCAAGCGATACACCCTCGTTGAGCACATCGGCAAGGGGACGACTTTCGATGCCCGATACACCATCCGCATCGCCTTCGACTGGGACCGGGACAGGCGTCAGGTGATCGTTGGCTACATCGGCCGCCACCAGCAGACCGACGCCAGCTAGCGGACCTGAACTCGCGACCCCAGTTGTAGCAAGCTTGAGGGAACTCGTGGTGGGCGGTGCAGGACGGCAAAACAAAAACTCTTAAGTTGGAAGTATGGCTGTGTGAGACGAGCGGCGCTACTTCTCAGACCTTGAACGTCAGACTGGTGTCGGGCAGGACAATTCCCAGGCGACACAACACAACGATTGGTGTGTCGGATGCACCAGTCCGTTTCGTCGTTCTTCAACCCTCCGACTCAAGGGAATTTCCATCACGGATCCGGCGATGAGTTCGAATGAAGACAGCAATTGTTCCAAATTTACTTTGGGAGATTCGTGTTCGTAGCAAATCGCAATGAGGCAACTGCGTTGGTAGTCCTTCCCACCCATCAGCTTAAGAGTATCTCCTATGAGGCTCGTGTTTCCCTCATAGGGGTGGAGTAGGTTTTGGCTCCAGTTCTCAGCATTCCTCCCATCATCCCCAAATGGCCGTACTATTTTGAACTCAACGGCCCACGTCTTTCCTATCTCAAGATCAGGGGTTCTACGTGTTTCCGCGGAAAGCCCGAGACTCTTTTAGACGAAAAGCAACTTCCTTGATAAGCTGAGGTTCTCTAAATGGTCCGATCCCCGGCCGGAAGGACTTGTGTACGGGATGCTCAGCATCGAAATTCTTGAGGGCGTCAGCAACATGCTTGACGAGTTCTGAGAGTTCCACAATGTGCCTTTCCAAGGATTAAAGAAGTGGGCGGTGCAGGACTCGAACCTGCGACCCCCTGCGTGTAAAGCAGGTGCTCTAACCAGCTGAGCTAACCACCCGTTACCCATACCATCATAGTATCGCCGACGTTAATCGTAAACCCCGCCAGGTTCAGCACTCGCGCTTGGGATTCCCTTATAATCAACCCGAACAAGCAGCTTGAATGACATAAACGGAGGATCAGAAAGATGTCGCAAAAGCAGCGCCTGATATACGTGGGAATGCACGATGGTGTGTGCGCCGTAAGTAGCGGGGACGGCGGAAAGACCTGGCGGCAGGGTCCGGTGACGCAACTGCCCCACGCGGCCGCGCGGGTGGCAGTCAGCCCGGTCGACTCGAAGCGAGCGTGGCTGGCCGCCTACGAGGCCGGCGTGTACCGCACCGATGACGGCGGCGCAACGTGGACTCACGTCGAGTCCTATCCGTCCGACTACGCCCACAGCGTGTTGGCCGATCCTTCCAAAGCAGACGCCGTTTACGTCGGCAGTGAACCAGCGGCCCTGTTTCGCTCCGAAGACGCCGGAGCCTCTTGGGAGGAGTGCAGGAGTTTCCAGGATGTCCCCGAGTCCGCCAACTGGGGATTCCACGCACCCACCCGTGACTCCCACATCCGCGACATGGTTGTCTCGCCCGTCGACTCCAATCTGCTCTACGCAGGCATAGAGGTCGGTGGCGTGGTGCGGTCATCGGACGGCGGAGCCACGTGGCAGCAGCTGCCCGGCCTGGACGACGACATCCACTGCCTGCATCTGGGCACCGATAATCAGCAGCGAGTGTACGTGGCCACTGCCAGCGCTCCCTTCCGCAGCAGCAATGGCGGCGACCAGTGGGAGCAGATCAACGACGGCCTGGCCCGCCGCTACACCCTCCACATCGCCGCCGCCCCCGACGATGCAGACCAGGTGCTGGTGACCGTGTCGGAGAACGCCCGCCGCAAGTCGCCCCAGTTCTACCGTTCAGCCAACGGCGGCCAAACCTGGCAGAAGGTCGACGGGCTTGGCGAAGGCGAAGAGCCCGAGTCCATGGTGGTTGCGTTCGAATGGGACCCCTCATCGTCCGACGACGTCTACGCCGGGACCGATGGGGGCGAACTGTACCACAGCCCCGACCGCGGACAGACGTGGCAACAGCTGCCGGTAAGCCTGCCATCGGTGGCGGTTGGCGCCCTAGCGGTGGCGTAGACTTCCGTAACCGTTACGAGAGGGGTGGAAAGAGGAGTCTTTGACAGTGGCACAAGATCGGCTCCCGCTGGCCCTGCGGCCAATAGATGACTATTCGGCGGACAGGCCGACTTCTTCGATGGCGTCAGCAATGTTCTTCAGGCTGTCGACGACTCCGTCAAGCATTTCTGGATATTCTACCCCTCTCTTGAGAGTGACCGGGATCCAGCTGGAATCCTGCAGATGCAATTTCTTGGCTAGGGCGGTCCGTGCGTCCTGCAAACTGGAACTCGAATTGACCCAAATAGGAGTATTGCCGGTCGTTTCGAACTGATCGACGTTGACCCCGAACCACACAACAGCGCCCCGAAGTCTTATGTACCTTCCCTAGCCGCAGGTTCGCGGCGTTGCTCTTAAGCCTTTCCGGTCCACCCATTCTTGACTGATTCCTCTCTCGGTGGCGGCATCAATGAGGCGTTTGTAGAGGCGCATGTTTTCCTCATATTGCGCGCCAAATTCCTCTCCCTCTTGAATTGGCTTCATCGCGCCCCTATCTGCATAGCGGGCTAGAGTTCGCAGTTGGCGAACCTCTGTTTCGGCACCGGACTCTCCATAGTCACTGGTCCTTGTGGCAATGCTATCCAGAAGACTTCCCCAGCTGACTATCATCAAATGCCTTTGTGTGTCACCAATGCGTACGCATTTTCGTTCTGAATCAATCACTGCCGAATCACCGTAATGCGGCGTTACGCGGCCCCGAAGCTGAGGCCACAGGGACTGAATTCTCTCCTCGGGCGCAAGGAAAATTAACGCTGCGGGACCGTCATCTGGCAAACGGGTAAGATAGCCGTTGGGCTGGTTCGGAGTGAGTTCTGCCCAGAACTTTACTTCGATCAACACCCGCTCCTTACCTTCTTCGTCGAATCCGACGAGGTCAGGTTTTGTTCCATCCGGGTGAACAATTTGCGATTTGACAGTTTCGATCGGCTTTATGCCTCTCACGCCTGACTGGGCAATGTCGTTCAGGGCTACTACAGAGGCATCCCAGTTTTTGAAAATATGCTTAAGAACCTCAGTTGCGATGTTTTCCGTATTCCCCGGGAAGCTGGATACCAGATAGGCCAGTAGAGTATCGTTGTCAGGCATCGGATGTCCTCAATTCAATGGATTGTGCGGCGGGTTCACCGGATAGTCCTCGCGCCTCCCGGTGTCCCCCGGTTGGATGATGAAATCCCTGCGGTCCTTATAGAGACGAGCACGGTTGATGACATAACCTCCCTCGTCGTTGTAGGGATCAATATCGCTGAAGCCGGTCATCAACCAGTACTTGTACTCCCCGATGAACAGGTACGTGTTGTTCATGCGGAAAAACCTGCAGGCCACTCCCTCTCCGTCGCGAAACCGGCCACAAATTGCCGCCAGCATTTCCCGTTGGTCGTCCTTTTCCGTAAGAACGTACTCGTGCGGCCACGTTTCCCGATAGGTTACCGCCTCTCGCCATGGGGCGCGCTCGATGAGTTCGCTCAAGGTCGGCATATTCCGCCTACTGCCCCCGGAACACCGGGGCGCGCTTCTCCAGGAACGCCCGCCGCGCCTCGTCGGCATCGTCCGAGCCGTTGAGGATGCCGCCCGCGTTGGACGTCAGCACCATGGTGTTTTCCAGGCTGGTATCCATAGCCGTCCGCATGATCCGCTTGCTGATCCACTGCACCATTGGCGGCGTGCGCATAATCCGGTCGCACAGGTCGCGGGTGGTCTGCTCCAGATCCTCGCTGGAAACCATGTAGTTCAGCAGCCCCCAGTCGTAGGCTCGCTGGGCGTCGAGGTGCCCGGTGTAGGCGAACTCCAGCGCGCGGCCCAGGCCGGCCATCTTCGGCAGGTAGTAGCTTCCGCCGTTCTCGATGATTTGCCCCAGCTGTTGGTAGCTGATGAACCGCGTATTCTCGCAGCCGACCCGGATGTCGCAATGCAGCGCCATGTCCATGCCGGAGCCCACAGCGGGGCCGTTGATCATGGCAATGGTCGGCTTGCGGATCAGCGAGATGTCGCGGTGCAGGTGAGTGAACCCGTGAAAGAAGTGCTGCCTGGCAGCGTCCGGACCTTCCTCGGTGCCCCGGTTGCCGATGAAGTTATCGCCGGTGGTCGACGGGTCGTTGTCGCGTCGCATGTCCGCACCCGAGCAGAACCCGCGCCCCACGCCGGTCAGCACGATCACCCGGATGTTGGGATCGTCGTCGCCCGCCCGCATGTACTCCCCGACCTTGGCAACTGTGCCCTGCTCCTGCGAGTTGCCGATCAGCGCGTTCATCCGCTCCGGCCGGTTGAACTTGATCCACAGGATTCCCGATTCCTCCGGCTCGTACAACAGGTAGTCCACCAGCTCTGGTCCTGTCCCGGCTCCACCCATTTCCAAAGGACTTTCGCTACTCACGATTCAACCTCTCTCTTCTATTGATGCGTGAGGCACCGGGGTGCCCCGGGTTGGTACCCTATTAGTATCCCCTATATAAAGTAACCCCCGCTGAAGCGGGGGCGGCAAATATCAGACGCTGAGGCGATCGACTCACCCGGCACAACCAACGGCGACTACGGCCTGAAGCTGATCAGGTGCATCCCGGAGTCAACCATGATCGTCTCGCCGGTTACGTGCCCGGCTGCCTCCAGCAACCACACCACCGTCTCGGCGACACTCTCCGCGGTTGGCGCCTCCTGCAGGGGGACCTGCCGCTCAAAACTTTCGAACAGCTTCTTAGCTCCTTCCTCGCCAAGCCCATCGCCCCACCAGCGGGTCGGGATTGGGCCGGGACAAACGGCGTTCACCCTTATCTGCGGCGCCAGCGATCGCGCCAGCCCAATGGTCATGGTGTTCAGGCCGACTTTGACGCCGCATACGCTATCGAGCTGCCTCCACCAGTGATCGCCGATATGGATGAGACGTTGACGATGGATCCTGCCCCCTGCGCCCTCAGGGTCGGAGTCACCGCCCGTATCATCTGGTAGGCGCCCACCACATTGACCGCGTATATATTAAGGAAGTCCTCGCCTGACAGCGATTCCAGGTCGGTGGCGCTGGCAAATACCGACGACCCGGCATTGTTCACCAGCCCGTCGATGCGGCCCCACTGTTCCAGCGCCACAGAGGCCATGCGGCGGCAGTCAGCATCCTCTGCCACGTTCCCTTGACATAATACTGCGTCGCCGCCGAGGTCCTTGCAGGCCTGGACTGTCTCTTTCGCGTCCGTCTCGCTCTTGGTGTAGTTGATCACCACACGGGCGCCTTTGGACGCCGCGACGCGGGCCGTGGCAGCGCCCAGTCCGTTCGAGGAGCCGGTGACAATAATCACGGAACCGTCCAGTTTCACCATTGCCTCCCTAATAATGCCCGGCATTGATCCGGACACGACACAGATGAAGTAATATGACAGAAATCACGCCAAAACGTCGGCGACGGCAGTATAGCACGGGCCATCCTAACCGACCCGGAGGACGACATGGCAGCAACGATTGGCGCAGGAGAGTTCAGGTACGAGTACCAGCCGGGCTGGGCCAGGCTGCTCAGCGGGATGACGCTCCAGGGACCCAGCGGCGTGGCCGTTGACTCCTCAGACCACGTGTATGTGTTTCAACGTCAGGGCCCTGCGGTGCTGAAGTTCGACCGCAGCGGCAGCATTCAGGGGGTGTGGCAAAGGGAGGACGGCGTACCCGCCGACGCGCATCACATCCACGTCGGCCCCGACGATACCGTCTATCTGACCGACCGAGACGCCCACCAGGTCCTGCTCTATGACACCGCCGGCAATTTCCTCCGGTCGCTGGGAACCCGCGACCAGGCAGCCATGCAGGCGCCCTTCAATCACCCCGCCGATGTCTGCGTGGCGCCGTCGGGCGAGCTCTACGTCGCCGATGGCTACGGCAACTCAAGCGTCCACCGGTTCAACGCAGCCGGAGATTACATAACCAGTTTCGGCAGCCCTGGCAGCGGACCCGGCCAGTTCCGCGTACCCCACAGCGTCCGCGTTTCACAGGATGGGCGGGTCTACGTTGCCGACCGCGAGAATCACCGGGTGCAGGTGTTCACGTCCGAGGGTGAGTTCCTGACGGAGTGGACCGACTTCAAGTGCCCCATGGGAGTCCACATCGACGCAAACCAGGTGGTCTACGTGACCGACCAGATCCCTCGCATCAGCATCTACACCCTCGACGGCGAGCTGCTGGCACGGGGCCGCACCTTCGAGGGCGCCCACCAGGTCTACACAGATTCAGAAGGAAGCATCTACGGCATCGACACTGCCAATCAGCGTGTCCAGAAGCTCCAGAAGATCTGACGGGACAGGCCAATCGAGACGGCCCTCAGGAATTCCTCCCTTCGTGAATGAGAAGGACAGGGCGGTGGTATCGAATCGAGAGACTCGGGGACGTCGCGTCACGGGCAACAAGATCTCGATGTCAGGAGCGGAGAAGGGGAGGGTATGGTGCGCTTGGCGAGATTCGAACTCACGACCTCTGCCTCCGCAGGGCAGCGCTCTATCCGCTGAGCTACAAGCGCACTATTGGTGCCGGTGGGCCAGCAATGCTGGAGTTGGTGCCGAGGGAGGGATTTGAACCCACACATCCATACGGATACTGCGCCCTGAACGCAGCGCGTCTGCCGTTCCGCCACCTCGGCCTGGGGAGTTCGGGCCGCTGCCCGGCTTTCGCAGTCCCTTTCGACATGGTGGGCGATGGAGGACTTGAACCTCCGACCTCCTCGGTGTGAACGAGGCGCTCTGACCAACTGAGCTAACCGCCCGTGTTCGGGACAATAATCAATTATAAGGAACGCCCAGCCAACGGCGCAACCCTGCTCCCGCCGAATTCCGCCGCACCACACCGGCTGGGGCAAGCGCGTCTTGATTACCATGGCGCAGTAGGTCAGATTTTCGGAGCGGACATAACTGGTTTGAATGGGCTGATTTTTTCGCTTTTCCGATCATTTCCGATCATTCGATCATTCTTGCGATTCCTGAGACTCTTGTCTGGTCGCCCAGGCTCGTCAGAACCGCCTGGATGGCGGATGAGGAGGTTCGTCATCCCGGCTTAGTGAACAGTCAGGGACCCCCACAAAAACTGTGCCATTCTGTGCCATTTCGTGCCATTTCCCAGAAATCCGGCCCTTCGGAAGAGAAATTGCCGGTGGCAAAAGGCTGCTCGAGGAGGATTCTGGAACATCGTTTGTCCGGATGGATATTTTCATTTTCCCGGCCATGTGGGCCATATCGGCGGAATACGGCTAGTCCGGGGAAAGAACCGGATTGCCAAGACAATTAGCGAACATACATTCGATAATACAATCTAGCAACTCCATTTGCAACAGTCGAGTGTCAGAGGATGAACCTTCCGTTCCAGGTGGTCCAGCGAATTGTTCGGCTGACGGTTGTGTCCCTGGGGCGGCGTGCGCCCGCGGCACGGCATTTCGACCACAGATCAGATCGACGTCAGCGATTTCCAGGAATTGCAGACTACAACCCGGCAGACGAGCAAATTGGAACGCTGCCCCGCCGAAGTCCCCGGAGCCAGACGGGGCACCTCTCCCGCCAGCGGCCGAAGCGGTTCGCAAATATAAGCGATATTATGTCAAAAGCCCCAAAATCCGGCCCAGAACGAACATAACGTATCTTGTGCGAACCAACCTCAAATAGCTTTTATTCTAGTGACCACGAGTACGTTGCCACATACCCTCAGAGGTTGTTCGTTCGATATTCTGGAGTCTCTGTCGGCCAAGCCGTTGCAGGGAATATCAGAATTTTGCCATCTGGAGTTTCAAGTAAAGCCGATACGGTCCCCGGTTTCTGCGGTACATATGCCAATCTGTCCAGGGCGGATAAAGGATCCATCGATTGGTCTAACGAAAAGTTATCGACCATGGTAGAGCCCCTCTCAACCTGCTTGAAGGTCCAATTGGCGAACAAAGTCTTGGCCCTGCGGAGAGGCCAGCAATCAATCCCCATGTCAGCGGCCAGTTTAGCCCAGCACAGCCAGTATCCCAACTGCAGCACTGTGGTGCTTATCTCAGGGCTCAATAGTTTGCCTCTTGTTATTCCGTTCCTTTGGTGTAAGAGATAGTTGCGCAAATCGTCAAAGACGTCGATAAAGTCATGGTGCTTTCTCGTCTTCAGTTCGCTTAGTATCCAATTGTGTTCGGATGGAAGCGCCAAAGAATCTACGCACCCATTAAGCTCTCTTCTGACAAGGTTCCTACTAGAACCTCACGTTTTCTCCAGTGCTGACCACACTAGGGGTATAGTCATAAACCTGTCACAGGTGAGGTACTCGACCCCCATTAGATATTCGACACTCGCTTCCGATAGAAAGTCAAAGATGTCGAACAACACTTCGGCGAGCTTGTCATCTCTCTGAAGATAGGTACTGTTACCGTCGAGTATATTCTGTTCTTGATATTCGTCACAATGGGGCTGCATTATCATATACGACGCGATGCTACCCAGCGCAGTCCAATCCCACAATGGGAATCACATCAATACAGTTCATATTGAAGACCGATAGCGTGGTCTTTATTCTGCTTACGAACGCCTCAATATCTTGGTCACTCGTACTTTCATTTGGAACGTCTATAGTCAGCAGATGGGTTACTAGGAATGAAGATTCCGTGTCAAAATCACCTAGGAAGGGAGAAAATTCTAACTGCCAACCATCAATGCTTGCACGGATTGCCTTTGCATTTCTTAGTGCCAAATTGATTACGATGGCTTGGATTCTAGATATCTTGGAGTCAGTATTTCTCAGAATCCTCAACCCTTCATCGATGACCTGATATTTTCCACGTACCGATAATGCTTCGTTTGTGACGCTCATTTCGCAATAATTGTTGAGCTTAATGGGATAAAAATCATATTGCAGGCCATCAAATTGTATCGGTAGGTATCTTCCTTGAGTTTGCATTACCGTGCAGGATTGAAGTGCGGACTCCCCTTCTAGATTAACTTCCAGCAACACTCTTGGTTTTCTTTGTAGATCAAGTAGACAGGACGCAGGCAAGGAATCTAGCTTAACCATTGATTCGGGAATCGATTTTTGCCAGTCAGGAATCCAAATTCGCCTGTCGAATAATCTGATCTTTCCAGTTTGCTTTGAGACTTCGATCTCAGCAATAATCTCTTGCTTGTAGTCCGATTCGCCCACTGCTACACCCCGCCTACGTCTGTCCGTCTACCTGACCTCAGCTTTGTGGAGAAAGCTGAATAAAACATTCGGGTTGGGAGTCTATCCGACCCCCTCATACGCAACTTCCCAACACCCCTACCGCCAGCCGCCGGCGTACTCCTCGGTCATCAGCAGCGGGCCGTCGATGTTGACCAGCTGGTTCTCGATCTCGGACAGCAGGTGGTCCAGGTTCCAGCCCTTCTCGGCCGATACGAGGACGCCATCGGCGGCGTCCTTCTCCCAGCCGGCGCCCAGGGAGAGCTCACGCACCTGTGCCAACTCCCCGCCGGATGTCGCGGAGTCCGTCAGCAGGTCCATCTTGTTTATGACAAGCAAGCGGGGCCGGTCGCCCAGACCCAGCTCGTCCAGCGTCTGCTCCACCACCTCGGTCTGCTCCGGCGCCTTGGGGTGCGAAACGTCGATGACGTGCAGCAGGACGTCGGCCCGGTCCAGCTCTTCCAGCGTGGCGCGGAAGGCGGTGATGACTTTGGGCGACAGCTTCTGGATGAAGCCCACGGTGTCGCTCAGCAGCAGCGGGGCACCCGAGGGCAGGCGGATGCGGCGGGTGACCGGGTCGAGGGTGGAGAAAAGCTGGTTGGCGGCCAGGGAGGCGTCACCGCTGTTGCCGGTCTGCACCAGCGCGTTGAACATCGTGCTCTTGCCGGCGTTGGTGTAGCCCACCAGCGTGGCCATGGGGATGGCCGACTTCTTGCGCCGGTCCATGTGCTGTGTGCGCCGACGCCGAACGCCATCGAGGTCCGACTTGATCTTCTGCAGACGGCGACGCACCAGTCGGCGGTCGGTCTCGATCTGGGTCTCGCCGGGGCCGCGGGTACCGATGCCACCGCCCAGCCGCTCAAGGTGCGACCACTGACCGGCCAGCCGCGGCAGGAGGTACTCGTGCTGGGCCAGCTCCACCTGAAGCTTGCCCTCGTAGGTGGACGCGTGCCGGCCGAACACGTCCAGGATCAGGGCAGTGCGGTCGATGACCTTGATCTCGCCCCTTTCCCCGTACATGGGAGCACCCTTGGGAGAGAGGCCAGCCTCGAGATTGCGCTGCTGGGTCGGCGTCAGCTCATCGTCAAAGACCACGACGTCGGCAGACAGCTCCTTGATCAGATCGCGGAGTTCGTCCAACTTGCCCTTGCCGATGTAGGTGGGCGTCAGCCGCTCGGATTTCTGGAAGAGGGTGCCCACCACCTCGGCGCCCGCCGACTCGGTGAGGTGCCGCAGTTCGCCCAGCGTGTCCTCCAGCGTCCACATTTCGTCGCGGCCTTTCAGTTCCACCGCGACCAGAATGGCCCGCTCCGGTGCTGGAGTTACGTCAACCAGCCTAGACGACTTCGGGGCTTTCTTCTGGGCGTCCGCTTCCCCTCGACGCTTTCCGTTCTTGGCGATGGGCTAACCTCCCTGCGGGGCCGGAATCTTCCAGCTCTCAATGCGCTGGCATCCTTTCTCCACCTGCTCGTTGGGCGTTGTCAGGGACAGGCGACCAGGAGCCTCGCCGTACGGCCGTCCGTAGTAGCTGGAGCGGGGTGACACACACGCTCAGTTACCCTCCAGCAGGCGCTGAGCAAACTCCGCCGAGGTGAACCCGGCCGGCACCTTGGCCCAGATGTACAGGCTAGCCCGAGGCACTTCCACTTCCATGCCCGCGTTGCGGCAGGCCTGCACCACGGCGCGGCGCCATGTAGATGCCAAACAAAAAAAAAACCACCACCCCCCCCCCCCCAACACCAACCCCCCCCCCCCACCCCCCCCCCCACCCCCCCCCACCCCCCCCCCCCCCCCCCCACCACCCACCCCCCCCCCCACACCCCAAACCCCCCCAACACCACCAACCTGTCCTCAACCGAAACCCAGTACTGCGGACCGGTCAGGTCCCAGGCCATTCCTGCACCGCCTGCGGCACACCCGAGTCCAGGTTGGCCTTGATCTGAAACAGCGCCTTGATCATGTCGGCGTTGCCCACCGCCATGCCGATGCGCCATCCGGTCATGTTGTAGGTCTTGGACAACGAATGGAACTCGATGCCGCATGTGTCCTGACGCCGTCATCTGCATGTGTAGCGATGGGCGCGGTTAGCCCTCGTACCCGACCTCGCTGTAGGCGGCGTCGTGCAGCAGCGCGATGTCGTTTTCGCGCAGAGAAGGCCACTGGCAGACTCAGAGTCTACCACCGTGGCGATGGCAGTGGTGGCAGTGTATGGGATAGTCATTCAGCCACATCACCTTCGCCGCCCGCGCCACGTCGGCGGGGATGGCGTCCAGCTCCGGCAGCCACCCGTTCCGCTCGTACAACGGCATTATGTGGCTCTCCGCTCCGGCGAACATGGTGCCAACGCCGTAGACCGGGTAGGCCGGGTCAGGCACGAGGGCGATGTCGCCCGGGTCGAGGAAGCAGAAGGCGGCGTGGCCGATTCCTTCCTTGGCCCCGATCAGCGGAAGCACCTCGGTGTCCGGGTCCAGCTTGACGCCGACCGTGGTCTGTCGTACCACTCGGCGATGGCCCGACGACATCTCCGCACCACCGTCGGTCACGGGTTAGCGGTGGTTGTACTGCGACGCTGTCAGCAGCCGGTCGATGATCGGCTGGGGGGTGGGAATGTCGGGGTCGCCGATGCCGAAGGTCACCACGTCGGCCCCGGCGGCCCGCTTGGCCGCAATGATGCGGGAGATCTCCCAACGAAGGGATATGGTGCCAGCTTGCCCAATCGGTCAGAAAATTTCATCCTTGCGGCCTCTGTTCCAAGTTTCTCGAAGAGTGATGCATTTGTTCACGCGCGGTTAAGGTCGTTCCGGGAGATACCCAGGTCCCGCAGAATCGCAGCTATCGTTCCCGGCCTTAAGTCTCTTGCTCGCCAGTTGGGAAGGAATAGCAGTCGTCCGGTCATTCAGCGTATTGATCCACATCTCATGGGATCCTATTCCTTGGCGATGAAATTCACACCCCAAACGCTTTGGCTTCCCTGTCAGTTCTCGATGGTTCACGCCGTGACTATAATCTCACCGTGGATGACCGTTCCGGAAGGCTCGTAAAGCAATAACTCTACTTCCTCAGGCAGGGGAGTCTCTCGGTCCAGGTAAGAATCAACAAACGTCTCCGCCATATTTCGGATGTAGTCCAGCGCTTCTCCCACCGAATCTCCCCACACACGGCAACCAGGCAGGGCAGGCACTTCCGCCATGTATTTGTACTCGGTGTCCTCCGAGGGCTCGTAGAGAACGATCGGCAACTTGTACAGCTTCATCGCATTCCCTCGCCTACGCCAGCAACGGTCCGTAAACTTCGTCAACCGACAGATCGAATCCCGGCAGAGCATCCGAACGCAGAACATCTCCCAATCCGTACGTGGCGACGGTGATCGAAGCGTCCGATGTCAGTTGGAGCACCTCTATGGTTCGACTGTCAAAACTCGCCAGCCAGCACTCCGGCACCCCGATGCTACGGTAGTCCGCCAGTCGCTCCTCGATGTCGCGCGGCGTGTTGCTGGGCGACAGAACTTCCACCACCAGAAGGGGTGGATACGCCAGGAAGGGCAGTCCTGCCAGGTCCGCAGGGCGATCGATTCTCGTCAATTCAGAGTTGACTACAAGGATATCCGGCTGACGTACCCTGAGAGGTTCTCGGTGTATCAAAACATCGTAAGGAGAGGTCAGCGCAATGCCCAAGGGATTACTCACCAAGAATCGGTCCAGTGCACCAAAAATCACGCGAACAACCCATTGGTGATCGCGAAAGGGCTTGGAGGCATCACCAGAACTCCATCCACGACCTCACAGCACTGCGTTGTCTCAGGCAGCGCTTGCCACTCTTCGAAGGTCAGCCGCTTGGTCCCTGCAGTGGTCATCAGGCGGCCCACTCCCCGGTGAATACCTCGGTGGCCGGACCCTCCATCATCACCTCGCCCATGCCGTCCCACTGGATGCGCAGCGTCCCTCCCGGCAGCGTTATGTCCACCTCGTCGCCGCAGTGCCCAGACAGCCTTGCCGCCACCGCGATGGCGCAGGCTCCGGTGCCGCAGGCCAGGGTCTCGCCGCTGCCCCGCTCCCACACCCTTGCCGTCAGCTTGCCGGGCGCGTCCACGTTTACGATTTCGAAGTTCACCCGCCTCGGGAACATGGGATGGTGCTCCACCTTCGGCCCCACGGTGTGCAGCGGAAAGCCGGCCACCGCCTGCTCGATGAAGGTCACTGCGTGCGGGTTGCCCATCGACACGAAGCTCAGCGGCAGGTCGAAGCCGTCCATCGTGAACGGGTACGCCAGCACCGGCGGGGGCAGTCTCCGGACAGCGTCACCGGCACTTCCGCAGGGGCAAGGATCGGCGCGCCCATGGCCACCCGGGCGCCGGTGATGCGCGGCCCGTCGTAGGTCGGCACCACGGTCCGGATGCCCGCCAGCGTTTCGACGGTCAGACCGTCGTCCGACGGCGCGGCAATGTCCCGCTCGATGGCGTACTTGGCGAAGCAGCGGATGCCGTTGCCGCACATCTCACCCTGGGAGCCATCGGCGTTGAACATCACCATCCTGAGGTCGGCCACGTCGGAGTCGGCGATCAGGATCAGCCCGTCGCTGCCGACGCCGAAATGCCGGTCGCTCATACGGCGGGAAAGCTCCGGCCAGTCCGCTTGCTGGCTCCGGGCGTCAATGTAGACGTAGTCGTTTCCGGCCCCTTCCATCTTGGTGAATTGCATCGCCCTGGCTCCTGGATTTGCCCTCTGTTTTCGTCTATTTAAGGCAGCGGGATTTCGGCCATTGTATCACGGGGCCTCGGAATTCAGGAACGAAGCCACTGCCTGCGCCGCCTTGTCGACCAGCCCCGGATCAGCTGCATCCAGCCAGTGAATGCGCGGGTCCGACAGCTTGAACCAAGCGTATTGGCGCCGCGCCAGCCGGTGCGTCTGCGTCTGCGTGCGGGCCACCGCCTCGTCAAGCGAAAGCTCCCCCGCCAGGTACTGTCCCAGCTCCCGGTACCCCGGACTGTCCAACGGCCCCTCTCCCATTGGGAACCCCGCCTCCGCCAGCGCCTCGACCTCCGCGAGGAAACCGTCCTCCAACATGCGGTCCACCCGCTCGTCGATCCGCCGGTAGAGCTCCCCTCGTTCCATGGTGAGCCCCAGCAGCAACGCGTTGCTGGTGCTGGCCGGTGGCTCACCGGCGGCAACAAACTCCGAGGGCTTCCGCCCCGTAGCGTGGTGGATTTCCAGCGCTCGTATGACTCGCCGCACGTTCCGGGCGTCGAGGGCCGCCGCCCGAGCGGGGTCGACCGCCGCCAGCCTGGCGTGCAGCGCGTCAGCCCCCAGCCGCTCGGCCTCCGCTTCCAGCCCGGAGCGAAACTCGGGATCGGGCGGCACCGCAGGCACTCGCTGTCCGTCAACCAGGCCCCATACGTATTGCCCGGGTTCCGCCGCAGACAATCGGCAGGTTTCCGCGCTCCAGGATTCCGGCAAGTGCTTTGGTAGCGTGCTCAAGGAACAGCGCCAGCCCGAACGGATCCGGTGGGTCGATTATGTCCAGCAGGTGATGAGGCGCCGCCGCCTGTTCCTCGACGGTGGGCTTGGCCGTGCCGATGGTCATCCGCCGGTAAACCTGGCGGCTGTCGGCGTTGACCACCTCGCCGCCTAAACGCTGCGCCAACGCAATCGCCAGCGCCGTCTTCCCCACCGCCGTCGGGCCCACCACGCAGACCAGGGGCGCCGTTGTCGAGGAGGGCTCGCTACCGGTCATTTCTATATCGCTTCAATTCGCACTTGTGCCACCGTCTCAGCCGATTCATCAAAGCACCCCCATTGGCCAAGAAAAAATTTTGCCCGCATTTTTTGACAGTAGTCATAGAGACAAATCACCGTCAGATCCACATTCAATTGACCACTGATTCAAAGTCAATCGCCAATACTCAGAGCTAACCATCTCTTCGTCATCGTTACACCAGCCAAGATCCGGACCGCTAGCCTTCACTTTGAATCTGACTTCATAAACCTAGACTATCCCGGCAGGGGTTTTGTTAACAATCACCTATAAATGCTTGCATAAACCTAATTAATAGCTATAATGCAAGGATATGCTTGCATTATAGAGGGAGGACGACCATGTCCGAAACGGAGCCAACTGGCAAGGCTCGAGGTGGAAAAGCGCGAGCAGAGAAATTATCCCCTCAAGAGCGAAGCACCATAGCCAGAAAGGCGGCTGCCCAGCGTTGGGATACTGAAGGTCTCCCTCGTGCCATTTGCAGTGCGGAAGACACACCGTTGATAATAGCCGATACACGCCTCGAAGCTTACGTATTAGAGGACGGCACTCGCGTCCTTTCTGAGGCCGGCCTACTGACAGCACTAGGACGGAAAAGGCGGGCAGCATCTAGGAAACCAGACGTTCCTCCGATGCTCCAAGGTGCAGGACTTGAGCCATTCCTCACGCCCGATGTCATAGAGAGAAGTCAGCCCATATCGTTTAGTACGCCAAATGGATTAAGGGCGAATGGCTACCGAGCCGAACTTCTGCCGGATGTTTGTGAGGTCTATCTTAAGGCGCGGGACGCAAACACGCTGGCTCCCAACCAACGCCCTGTTGCCCAGCAAGCAGAAATCCTCATGCGTAGCTTCGCCAAAGTTGGAATTATAGCTTTAGTTGATGAAGCTACTGGCTATCAAGAATTAAGGGCCAAAAATGCGCTTGCTGCGATATTAGAAGAGTTTATCGCCAAGGAGTTGCAACCATACGTCAGAACTTTTCCAGACGACTACTACAGACAGATGTTCCGGCTCAGGTCTTTGCGTTACCCAGACGATACTGTGAAGCGGCCCCAGTATTTTGGGAAGTTGACTAACGATATGATCTACCGACGCCTGGCACCAGGGGTCTTAAGCGAGCTAAAGAAGGTTACGCCACGCAACAACTCTGGAAATCTCAAACACAAGCTGTTCCAAAGGCTCACTACTAAACGTCGGCTATCCAAAACTTCGAGAACATCTTGGATCCGTAGTTACGATCATGAAGCTAAGTGGCTCCTGGGATGAGTTTATGGGGCGTCTCAACCGCATTCATCCTAGATATGGAGACACAATTCCGATGGAACTCGAAGACGATGGAGTGGGATTGTAAGTTAAGCCGCTCAGAATCCGATTAGGTTAGTTGCGCATCCCAACTGCGGCGGAAGCTACCCCTTCGCTCCCGCCACCTCGGCGGCGATCTGCAGGAACTGGTCGGCCTGGAGGCTGGCGCCCCCGACCAGCGCGCCGTTGATGCTGGGCTGCGCTGCGAACGCGGCGGCGTTGCCCACGTTCACGCTTCCCCCGTACAGCAGGGGCACCGAGTCGCCATCGTCGCCGAACAAGTCGCGCAGGGCGTCGCGGATCGCGCCCCCCATGATCTCCTCGGCGATTTCGGGAGTGGCGGCCCGCCCCGTGCCGATGGCCCAGACCGGCTCGTAGGCCACCACCACGTCCGTTATGTCATGCACGTCGGCCACACAAGCCAGTACCTGGCCCTCCACAACGTCGGCGGCTCCGCCCTCCTCGCGCTGCGCCAGCGTCTCGCCCACGCAGACGATGGGACGCAGCCCGGCGTCCTGGGCTGCGTGGACTTTGCGGTTGACCGTCTCGTCGGTCTCGCCGAACAGCTGCCGTCGCTCAGAGTGGCCGAGGATCACGTAGTGGCAGAGGCTCCGCAGCATCGCCGCCGACACCTCGCCGGTGAACGCGCCGGAGGCCTCGTAGTGCATGTTCTGCGCCCCGACGTGGATCCCGCTGCCGTTGACAGCGCGGCGCACGACCGCCAGTGAGATGTACGGCGGGCATAGAATCAACTCCACGCTCCCTGCCTCCGCCAATCCCTCGGCAACCTCCGAGGCCAGCGTAGCGGCCTCGTCCAGCGTAGTGTTCATCTTCCAGTTTCCGGCAACTATGGAACGGGGCATGGCTTGCACTGCCTCCCAGGTCAGTAGGTAGGGAAAATCTGAAACCTACCATAGCGGAAAGCGGCCAGTAAGGGCAGGCAATTCAGGGGCCGTATTTTGCCATCTTGCCCGCGTGCGACATTTCCCAGCAACATCACGTTGGTCGCCGGGATGCTGCCGATGGAGCCCAACCGGCACTCCCGCTCGCTGAAGGCCGGCACCCCCTCACCCCGCGTAAGCTTCGAGTGCAGCATGAACGGCACCGGGTGCCAGCTGTGCCCCGCCGTGATCGCTGGCGTGGCGTGATCGCCCGCCACCATGAGCACGTCCGGCTCCAGCTCCCGGATCGCAGGTATCAGCGGGTCCAGATCTTCCAGGCACTGCACCTTGGCGTCGAAGTCCCCGTCCTCTCCGGCCGCATCGGCGGGCTTGTAGTGGATGAAGAAGAAGTCGTGCGAGTCGAAGTTCTGCCGCAGCGTCTCGACCTCGTCCGAAAAGTGCCGCCCCGTCGGTATCACCCGCATCCCTGCCACGGTCGCCAGCCCCCGGTACATGGGATATGCCGCGATGGCCGCCGGGTTCATGCGGTAAACGTCGCCCATCGGCGGCAGGCTCGGCATCTGCGCGAAGCCGCGCAGCAGCAGCATGTTGGCCCGGTCCTCCTCCGACATCAGCTGTGCCGCCTTGGCCACGAACTGATTGACCAGATCCGCCGTTCGCTCGGCACCCGCGTTCAGCGCCCGCACCGGCAGCGCCGCGACTCCCTCGCGTTGCGGGTCGGTCTCAGTCACTGCCTCCGACAGCCCCTCGCCGCGGAGCCGCAGGACGAACCGGTAGTCCTGCACCGGGAACACGTCCACCTGCACGCCCTCGAGCTCGATGCGGTCCAGCCGCTCGCAGATAGGCGCGCTCAGCTCCGTCGGAATCCTACCCGCCCGCCGGTCCAACAGCAGGCCGTCGGCGTCGACGGTGCAGAAGTTGCCTCGCGCAGCCACGTCTCCGGGCTGCAGCTCTACGTCGATGCCCAGGGCCTCCAGCGCGCCCCGCCCGATCATGTGCCTCAGCGGGTCATACCCGAACAGCGCCAGGTGCCCCGGCCCGCTGCCAGGAGCCACGCCCGGCAGCACCGGCGTCGTCAGTCCGCAGGCGCTCACCCGGGCCAGCGCGTCCAGGTTGGGGATGTTGGCCGTTTCCAGCTCCGACTTCCCCGTGTCGGGATGGGCCAGCCCGCCCAGTCCATCCACCACCAGCAGCACCATCTTCGATGAGGTGTTCATGTAGCAGTCGCGCAGTTCCTCGATGTCAATCATGGTGTCTCCTCAAATGGGCGCCTTCCGGGACTCTCCTGTGATTTGAGGGAGAGGGGTTGGCGCGACAGGGATTTCCCCCGCATCATCCGATTTCAGCGGTGCAATGCGTCCTCAGTCGGCGTCCGGCAGCGCCGCAATCCCCGGCAGCTCGATTCCGCCCAGGAACTCCAGCGAGGCCCCACCGCCTGTGGAAACGTGCGTCATGCTGTCCATCAACCCCAGCGCCTCTACAGTCTCGGCCGTCGACCCGCCGCCCACCACGCTGGTGACGCCCGGCGCGCCGGCAATGGCCTCCGCGACTACCCGCGTGCCCTCGCTGAAGCGCGGCATCTCGAACACGCCCATCGGCCCGTTCCAGATGACAGTGCGGCACTGCTGAAGCTCGCTGGCAAACTGCTGAGCTGCAGACGGCGCGATGTCCATGATGATGCCGCCCTCCGGCACTCCGTCAGCCGACGACACCTGCACCTCGGCCGGGTCGGCGGCGAACTCGCTGGCCACCACCACCTCGGAGGGCAGGTGCACCTTGATGCCCCGTTTCTCTGCCTCTCCCAGCATCTCCCGCGCGAACTCCAGGCGGTCCTCCTCCACCTGCGACGCCCCCACGCCATGCCCCTGCGCCTTGAGGAATGTCACGCACATCCCGCCGCCGATGAACAGGTGGTCCAGCTTGTCCATTATGTTATCAAGCAGCAGTATCTTGTCGCTCACCTTGGCGCCGCCCATGAGTGCCGCAAGCGGCTTCTCCGGCGACTCCAGGGCCCGTCCCATCGACGTTACTTCCCGCTCCACCAGGAACCCCATCGCCGACGGCAGATACTCTGTCACTCCGACCGTCGAGGCGTGGGCCCGGTGCGCGACGGCGAAGGCGTCCATCACGAAGTAGTCGGTCAGTGCCGCCAGCGACTGCGCGAACCCAGGGTCGTTGGCCTCTTCGCCCGCGTCGAATCGCAGGTTCTCCAGCAACACCACATCCCCCGGCGCCATCCCAGCGATGGCAGCTTCTACCGACGGCCCGGTGATCTCAGGAAGGCTCTTCACCGGGTGGTCCAGCAGCACAGCCAGACGGTCGCCCACCGGCCCCAGCCGCAGCGCCTCGTCCACTTTTGCGCGGGGGCGACCCAGGTGCGAGCACAGGATGGTCCGGCAGCCGCGCTCGATCAGGTACTGGATCGTCGGCAGGGTTGCCCGGAGACGCTGGTCGTATCCGGCAATGGCTTCGATGCCCTGTTCGATGGGCACGTTGAAATCCACCCGCACCAGCACCCTGCTGCCGTTTACGTCAAGTTGCGAAAGACTGCGCTTGACCACCTGCTCGTTACCCCCGTTTCCGTTCTTTCCGGCCTGGATGTTTTTCTGGCCCCGATGCGGCGAAGTTGGTCCGGGTTCAGCGGCCGCCCGCCAACGCCCACTGGGCAAGCTCGCGGAGCTGCTCCATTCCGCCCTGGGGAACTCCTGCGGATGCCGCTTCGGTCAACCCTTCCTCAACAAGCTGTCCTGCCCTCTCTTCGGCCGCGGCCCGGGCACCCGTCTCCTCGAGAATCGACACCAGTCGCGAAACATCTTCCTGTTCCAGAACCCTCTTCATGTAGATGCCGCCCATCTCCCGCTTGGCGGACACGCTCCCATGCTCCAGGGCGTGAATGACTGGCAGGCTCTTTTTCTTGGAGATGATGTTGCTGGCGGTGATCGCGTCGCCCCGTTCGCCCCAGAATTCAGCGGTATCTCGCGCGATCTGCCACGCCGCTCCCAGCTTGACCCCCAGTTTAAGCATGGCGCTGCATCGGGCATCGTCCGCACCCGCGACCAGCGCCCCTGTTTCAGCGGAGGAACCGGCCAGCGCCCCGGACTTCCGGTCAACCATGTCCATGTAGGCGCCCGACGTCACCATGAGCTGGTCCTGGAATTCCAGGTCCATATACTGCCCCTCGCAGAGCCGGAGGCAGGCTTGGTCCAGCGACCTGACCGCCATCAGCACTCGGTCCGGCGGCGTACCCCGCTTGCCCAGGCGCATCATTGCCGTGCGGCCCAGCGCGTGCAGCCCGTCGCCGGCGTTGATCGCCTGCGCGGGCCCCCACACCCACCAGATCCCCGGACGGTCTATGCTCTCGGCCCTTCCCGCCTGCACCTCACCGTGGACCAGGGTGAAGTGATGCACCAGCTCAACGCCCGCCGCCGCTGGCAGGGCAGCCGCGTAATCACCGCCGATGGCCTCGCAGGCGACCAAGGCCACAGCCCCTTGGAAGTGCAGCGGCGTATTCCCGTCGTCCGGCCTCCCCTGCTCGTCGACCCAACCCAGGTGATAGCGCAACAGTTTATAAAGGAACCCCTCGCGTCCGGCGAACACGTCGCGCAACTCGGCTTCCACTGCCTGCCTGTATTCTTCGTATTTCGCAATCATCGGCAATAATCTACTGGCTGTTAAAGAGGGCTGCAATCTCTTCGAATGGCACCGCACCGTCGCGAACCAGCTTGAGCTCATTCCCGGAAACGTCAACGATCGTCGACGCGGTGCCCGCGGGGCTCGGACCGTCCTCGACCACCAGGTCTACGCGGTCTCCCACCTGCCGCCGTAACTCCTCGAGGGATTGCGGATCGGCGGCCCCGCTGATATTGGCGCTGGTGCCCGTGATCGGTCGCCCCAGCTTGCGCGCCAGCTCCCTCGGCACTTGGTGATCCGGAACCCGAACCGCCACTGTCGGATGGCCGGCAGTCAGGCGAGGCGGCAGGCCGCTGGCCCGTTTCACAATCATGGTCAGCGGGCCGGGCCAGTACGCCTCGGCAATCTGTCTGACCTGGGGCGAAACTTGCGCGGCAACCATTTCCAACTGCCCAGGGTCAGCTAAAAGCACGGGCAACGCTAACCCGTCCGGCCTCTCCTTGATGCCGAACACCCGCTCAATAGCGTCCGGATTGAACGCGTCAGCCGCCAGTCCGTAGAGAGTGTCGGTGGGAACGGCAACAACGCCCCCCCCTCGCAGGAGACGGAGCGCGGTGTCCAGTTTATGTTCGGTCGATGACGACAAATTCAGGTTCTGGAGGGGGTTCGCTTGAGTCTGAACCCACCTTGCAAGAGCCGCGTTGGAGTATATCAGACCGGAAAGGGCCATTGACGCGCAGGACCCCGCCAGCGATAAGATTCCACGTTTATGGGTTTGCATGCCTGCGAATAGTCATCCCCGTGCGAGTCGCAGACCTCAGTCAGGGCGGGGTCGGGAATCCGGGCCCTGTCATTGTGAGACTCCAACACCTTCTTCGAACCCCTGCCTGCTGTCATTCCGCCCTTGCGAACCATTATGCATTCCACTAAAAGCGAATTTATGTTTCACAAAAGCACATGTCGGACTACCCAACGCTGTAGTTATGGCGTTCCCTCCCGTCGGCTGTTCCCCCAACCGGGAGCTTAGCCTGTAGAAAGGTGGACAAAAATAGAGGCAAATAGACACTCTTTGAGGCTTTCGTGGCTCGTAGTAGACACCCCGAGGGACTCTGTTCCCTCCCTCGCCTCTGCGGTTCGATTCCCACGGATGGCCCGACTCCCGGCCAGCGAGACAGCTACGCAATTAACACTCGGGCCTGAGACAGAATGAGACATTTAAAAAAACTTTCGTGAGTGGCGTGAGACACCTCCATTCGACCCTTCTCCCCGTCAACCACCACTGGGAAGTGAGGCAACAAGCATACTCGTAGGGACAGGTCACACAATCAACGGGAACGGGACCCGGGGGCCCGTTGAGGTTCCGTTCCAATCCTGGTGGTTCGTCAGCTCGAGATCTGTCCCTCCCGCGAAAGTCGCCGACTTCCGGCAAAGGCGGGGCGAGAGACCGGACCACCGTCTTGACGCATTCGGATCACCGGACACGGAACCCCGCCGTCCTTAGTCTATGCGGTTGACACCCCATAGCCCCGACATTAACCTGAAACATCATGCCTGAATCAGTCGACCCAAGACGCTTGCGAATAACCAACGAGGCCGGGACCGAGGGTACGCTCATCGGGTTCCGCTGCCGCGAATGTGCCGTAACCGTTTTCGGACCCGCTACCTTCTGTCAGTCCTGCACATCCTTCGAAGTGGAGCAGGTCGACCTCGGCGCCGGCGGAACGCTTTACAGCTACACCATCGTGCGCATCCCACCCGCAGGCTGGCCCGGACAGATCCCCTACATCCTGGGTCAGGTCGAACTTCCCTCAGGGCCCCAGGTCCTCGCGGAAGTCATCGACTGCGAGCAGTCCGACCTCGTCATTGGTATGCCGGTGGAATTGGCCATCCAGGCTGTTGCTCCAGAGGAGGGCGGCGCTGAAAAGCTGGTCTACAAGTGGCGCCCCGCTGGACCATAAATGCTGGGTATCTTGGAACCCTGCTGGCAGAGCATCTCCAGACGAGCCGCATTATCCAACCAGTCATTCCCGGGAAGGCGGGAACCCAGTAGTTCTAAAAAACCCGCAATTCCCTCTGAGACGGTGAAATATGGCGCAACTACGTCCCGGACGTGAAGTCGTGGTGGCCGGCGTCGGCCTCCATCCCTTTGGCCGCTTCCCCGACAAGGACCTCAGCGACCTCGCTCTCGATGCCGTGGTTGAGTCCCTGAAGGACGCCGGAGTGCGCTGGCGCGATATCCCCATCGCCTACTTCGGCCACGTCTACTACCACGGCATGTCCTTGGGCGAGACCACCCTGTCCAAGCTCGGCCTCACTGGCGTGCCCATCGTAAACGTCGAAAACGCCTGCTCCAGCGGCTCCACCGCCTTCTGGCAGGCCTATTGGGGCATCACCACCGGCATCTACGACATGGCGCTGGCCTTCGGTGCCGAGAAAGTGCCGCGCGGCCCGGTGACAGTTACAGCCGAGGACTCCCCGGAACGCTATATCGGCGGCGACCATATGATGGCTGGATACGCCCTTCGCGCCCGCCGTTACATGGAAGACAACGGCGTTCCGGCCACTGCCCTTGCCCAGGTCTCGGTTAAGGCGCGGCAGAACGCGGCGCTGAACCCCTACGCTCACCGCAAGGACCTGTATTCGATAGAGGAAGTGCTGGGGTCTCGCATGATCGCCGATCCGCTCACCCTCTTCCAGTGCTGCCCCACCAGCGAGGGCGGGGCCGCTGCTGTGCTATGCGCCCGCGAGTCCCTGTCCCAATACGGCATCGACGAGAGCCGCGCCGTGTCCATAGCCGCTGCGGTTCTGACCTCCGGCGATTACAACGGACGAGGCGCCGACCACTCGGCCTTCAGCCCCTACCGCACTGAGCCCGCCGCCCTGCAGGCCTACGAGATGAGCGGCCTTGGCCCCGAGGACGTTGACCTCTGCCAAGTCCACGACGCAGCCTCCATCGGCGAGCTACAACAGATTGAGTCCCTGCACCTCGTCCCCTTCGGCGAGGCTTGGCAGGCCACGGTCGAGGGGCGCACCTCCCTGGCAGGCGACATCCCTACCAACACCGACGGCGGTCTCCTCGCCATGGGCCACCCCTTCGGCGCATCGGGCATCCGCATGATCCACGAGACCGTAACCCAGTTGCGCCAGGAGGCCGGCCCCCGCCAGGTGGCCCGCGCCCGCGTCGGCGTTGCCCAGTGCTCCGGCGCCGGCGACGTAACCACCGTCCACATCCTGAAGGTGTAGGGGGCGGGTTTGAAACCCGCCCCCAACTGCTGGGAACTGTCAGAACGATGCCAACCTACATGATCCTGGCCGCGATGAAGGGACGGTTCGTATCCGACTTCGGCAACACCTACGACAACTTCCAGATGATGGGCTACGTCACCCGGCCCCAGGACTCCACTCCCTTCGATGCCGTCTCCGCCTTCTTCGACCAGCCTCCCTACCCCATCCAGTGGCAGGACGTCGAGTACCTCTGGGCGGAGCTCCTCACAGAGAACCCCGACAATGCCCACTACGGCGACTACGACCGAGTTTACGTCGAGTCGCTCCGTGAGCGTTGGGAACGCAGTTGAGGAAATCGCCCAGACGGCAACCGCCCACCCTGAGAACTACAGGGTGGGCGGTTGGAACGAGCCTTGTGCTCTGGTCGGGAGAGTCGGGGCTTATTTGGCCGCCTCTCGCAGCTTGGAGAAGTCCGACCGCAGACCCTCGGTAAGAGCCCGGCGATCGGTTCCGTGGAGCACGAACCTGGCGCCCTGCTCGATCCAGTAGGTCGAAAGGTCGGGCGTCTGGTGATGCACCAGCGTCGCGATGCCCCTGGCCTCCGACATATCGATTACCCGCTTCACCGTCTCCCTGTACTCCGGCCGCTCATACTGGTCGGGAAAGCCCAACGAGATGCTCATGTCGTTCGGGCCGACAAAGATGCCGTCAATCCCCGGTACGTCAAGGATCGCCTCCAGGTTGTTGACCGCAGCCACGCTCTCGATGCCGATGATGGAGATGCTGTTGCGGTTTCGATCCTCCAAGTATGCCCGGGTGGCGTCGCTTACGTGCTCACCCGTTTCCACCACCCGCTCCACGGCCTCACCCTTCAGCGGTCGCCACTTTGTGGCAGCCACCACTTCCCGCACCTGGTCCGCCGTCTCGCAGTATGGGGCCAGCACACCCTGCGCACCCGCATCCATCGCCATGGTCACGTAGTGCGAGTCAGGGATGGGGATCCGCACGATCGGCACCACCCCGCTCGTGTTGAACATTGTCAGGTATTCACCCAGTTCTCCCCGTCCGCGGGGGCTGTGCTCGGTGTCGATCACCGCATAGTCCAGGCCCACGCCCGACAGCACCGGAACCCAGCGCGGGCTTTGGCCGTGGGTGATCATGGTGCCGAACACCCGCCCGCCTTCCTTTAGAATCTGCTTCAGTTCTGCGCCGTTCATACTTGCCTCCAAGCAACGCCCTCTCCCAGGGCGGGAGGGGGCGGCATTCATTCCGATTCGTTTAAGGCTAGGCCCTCGCCCGCTGGTTGATGGTGAGGATGTTCTGGCAGAACTGGGCCGTCGCCAATATGTCAGGAATCACCACGTACTCGTTCACGGTATGCATCTCGTTGGTGGCCATACCGACCACCACGCACTCCACCCCGTTCAGGCGCATTGCGTTGGCGTCTGTCCCACCGCCCGACGGATGAATGTTCGGCTGCATCGACATGTTCCGAAGCTGCTGGGTCACCAGCTGCACGATGGCCTCGTTGGGGTCAAGGAGGTACATCTGGAACATCATCTCAATCTCTTCGCTGATGGTGGCGTCCCGGTACTTCTCCGCGCCTTCCGCAATGTCTCCGCCACCTGGATCCGAAGGAGGTCGATGGTTTCGGTGTTGTGGCTCCGGAATTCACCGCCGAAGCTTGCCTCCACCGGCACTGCGTTCCGCACGGTACCGCCGGTGATCAAACCCACGTTGAAGGTTGTTTCCTCATCCAGCCTGCCCTGCGGCAGGTTGTTGATAATCTCAGTCGCGATGCGAATGGCCGAGAGGCCTTTTTCTGGCTCAACACCCGCGTGGGCGCCCCGCCCGGTTATGTCAACGTCGAACCGCATGTAGGTCGGGCTGGCGCCGGTGATGGTGTTCACTGGGCCGTTGCCATCGAACACCACGGCGTCGCGGCAACGGATCATCGAGTAGTCCAGGTTGGCCGCACCCACCAAGCCGATCTCCTCACCCCTGGTCATCACCACCTGGACCGGCCGCCGTAGGCCTCCGTCCTGGGCGATGCTTTCCAACCCCTCCAGAATGGCCGCCACACCCGCCTTGCAATCGCCACCCAGAATGGTGGTGCCGTCAGACACAACGCGGTCACCCCGAACCTCGGGCTTGATGCCCCGACCCGGCTCTACCGTATCCATGTGGGCGGAGAGCATAAGCGGATCGGCACCCTCTTCGGAGGCGATCAAGTTACCGTGGGCGTCACGTTCTACCGTGAATCCCAGTGTCTCCAGTCGACCCGTGAGGTGCTGGGCAACTTCTTCCTCTTCGTCCGATGGACTGTCAATCCTGACCAACTCGCAGAACGAATTGACCAAACGTTCCTGATCAATCATTTCCCAACCTCCGGAGGTTCGAAAACGGGGCCAGTCTGACTAACCCCGACATTGGCCGGTATTATACATTAAGCTTGGAGTATCCCCTGTCTTACAGTCCGGAAGGCGCGGCTACGATGAACTATAAGAACTCAGCGGAAAGATGATGGAAAGCACTTGCCGAAATGACCTGCAAACGGCCACCACAGCAGCGGCACTCTCGGCACTAAGTGCGGAGATCGTCTCCTGTCGGCAGTGCTCCAGGCTGGTAGAGCACCGCGAGCGGATCGGGGAGACCAAGCGCGCTTCCTACAGGGACTGGGACTACTGGGCCAAGCCTGTCCCCAGCTTCGGCGATCCGTCAGCTAAGCTCTTGGTGCTGGGGCTGGCACCCGCGGCCCACGGCGGCAACCGGACAGGAAGGGTGTTTACCGGCGACGCATCGGCTACCTTCTTAATTAAGGCGATGTACGAAGCCGGATTGGCCAACCAGGCGGTATCCGACCACCGGGACGACGGGCTGCTATACACGGGCGCTTACGTCTGCGCGGCGGTTCGTTGCGTACCGCCCGGAGACCGTCCCACGCCGGAGGAGCAGAGGACCTGCCTGCCATACCTGGTTCGTGAGATCAGCCTGTTGCCCAATCTGAGAGTGATTCTCGCCTTGGGGCAGATCGCCTTCCAAGCGGCTCTGAGAGCGTTGGCCGCCATGGGCGTGGAGCGCCCCCGGGCAAAGTTCGGACACGGTTCGGTATATCGCCCCGGGGCAGGGCTGCCTCTGCTGATGGGCTGCTACCATCCCAGTCCGCGCAACACGAACACCGGCCGACTAAAAATGGAGCAATTGGTCGAGGCATTGAAAAAAGCCAAAACAATAGGGGAGGAGGAAGAGAGGGAATTGATTGGTAGGGCGTAGGGATTGGGTTTTGTATCTGTTAGATACGAGTTTTGGTGGTAAAAGAGTCGGTTTTACCACCAGTGCGGCAACGGAATCTTAGTCAGTCCATTCTAAAGACTAGTATGACGACCATCATTGAAGTGATGGCTGGTAAGATGCAGGGAAGCGAGGCCCAAGGAAGAAGACTGTGCAGCGGGGTGGATGTGATGGTCAAGAAATACCGTGTGGGACTGACTGGGGAGGAACAGGAGGAACTGAGGGCACTGGTGTCCAAAGGCCGGGCTGCGGCCTATAAACAGACTCACGCGCGCATTCTCCTGCTCAGCGATGAGAACCAGTCTGGCGGACCGATGATGGACCAGGAGATATCCCGGGCCCTCAAGGTGGGCACCGCCACGGTGGAGCGGGTGCGCCGCCGGTGCGTGGAGGAGGGGGTTGACGCGGCCCTGGGGCGCAGGGAGCAACTGCGCCGCCGTCAGAGGAAGCTCGATGGCCAGGGTGAGGCCCACCTGATAGCCATGGCCATATCCCAGCCGCCGGAGGGACGGGTCAGTTGGACCATGCAGATGCTGGCCGATGGATTGGTGGAGCGGGAGATGGTGGACAGCATCAGCCCGGAGACGGTGCGCCGGACTCTGAAAAAAACGAACTCAAGCCTTGGCTGAAGGAGTGCTGGTGCCTCCCGCCCCAGGGCAGCGCCGAATTCGTGTGCGCCATGGAGGACGTGCTGGAGGTCTATCATCGTGAATACCAGGACAATGAGGTCCTGGTGTGTCTGGACGAGACCAGCAAGCAACTGGTGCAGGAGACCCGTACGCCCCTCCCGCCGCGGCCCGGGGCAGCCAGGGCCTACGATTACGAGTACCAGCGCAACGGGGTGAGCAACCTGTTCATGCTGTTCGCGCCTCTGGAGGGATGGCGCCGGGTGGAGGTTACGGACCGGCGCACCAGGACCGACTGGGCGGAGGTGGTGCGGAAACTGGTGGATGAGGACTATGCCGACAAGGAGCGGATAGTGCTGGTGATGGACAACCTGAACACCCACCATCCGTCGTCCTTGTACCAGGCCTTCGAGCCGGCGGAGGCACGGCGGATCGCCGAACGGCTGGAGATACACTACACGCCGAAGCACGGGAGTTGGCTGAATATAGCGGAGATAGAACTGGGGGTGCTGGCGCGGCAATGCCTTGATCGCCGGATACCCAGCCAGAGAGTTCTGGCACAGGAAACCGGAGCATGGCAGGAGCAACGCAACCGGGCGGCGATTCGAGTGGACTGGCGCTTCACTACCCAGGACGCCCGCATCAAGCTCAAGTCCCTATACCCCTCAATACAATAGCGGCGGACTACTAAACCGAAGCCAAGGTGAAATGCGCAGAAACATGGGGTAAATTGGCGAAGGGGCAGAGTTAGCTTTTCCAGGCGTCAGAGAGGGGTTGGTGATGGGTGCGAGAGAGATACATCGGGATTTGGAACAATGGGAGATGGATGCCAAGGCCTTGCGCCGGCGGATGATCCTGGCGCCCACGCCCCGGGAGCGGGAGCGGTGGTACGCCGTCTGGCTGCTGGCCCAGGGCTGGACGGCAGCGGCGACGGCGGAGGCGCTGGAGCGGGACCCACACACCATCGGCCGGTGGGCGTCGGCCTTCGGCGAGGGAGGGCCTGCGGCCCTGATATTCGAGCAGTCCGGGGGTTCCCCCCCGCGCTTGACGAGAGGCAGCGGGAGGAGTTGAAGGCGGCGGTGCAGGAGTTGCCGGAGCAGGCAGGTATCCAACTGGCCAACTGGTACTGGAAAGGAGTCCGGCAGTTTGTCTGGGAACGATTCGGCACCAGTTTGAGCCGTAGCAGTTGCCTGAACTGGCTGCACCGCTTGGGGTTTGCCTTCAAGCGGCCCAAGAAGCGGCTGCTCAAGGCGGACGAGGCCAAAGCGGAAGTCATTCGTGGAGGAGTACGCCGCCCTGTGGGAGGAGGCTCAACGGACTGAAGCCAGAATATTCTTTGCTGATGAGGCCCACTTCCGGGCGGACGCGGAACTGCGGGGCAAGTGGGTGCTGAAGGGTGAACCGGCTCTGGTTGACTCCACCAGCCCGCGGTATGGGGAGAAGGCCAGCTACTACTCGGCGGTGTGCCTGGAGACCGGTGAGGTGGAGTGGATGGAACTGGAGGGCAACAGCAACTCCGGGACCTCGGCGGCCTTCTTGGACCAGTTGAGGAAGGGGCACGCTGGACCGCTGAATGTGATCTGGGACAACGCGCCGGCGCATCGTGGGGAGGCGGTGCGGGAGTACCTCAGGACGCCTGAGCTGGAGCTGAGGTTAATGAACCTGCCGGGCTACAGCCCGGACTTCAATGCCGATGAGGCCATCTGGGGTTGGGCGAGAGAGGAGGCCACTGGAAATCTGTGTCTGGGGACCAAGGCCTTGGTGCAGCAGAGGGTCGGCAACTTCCTGGCCGGACTGGTCAGCCGGAGAGACGAGGTGAGGCGCCGCTGCCGGACGGTCCTGCAGTCAAGGGCCGAAGCACTCCTGCCAAATTCCCCGCCCAATTCCCCGCCTCAGGCGAATGCGCATTTCACCTTGGCTTTTAGTTTAGTAGCACGAGATCTTTGAACTGATGAGTGGACAATATTGGCCGGAGCACCCGGCGATACTCTGCCGATGGTGCTTTTCGAAAAGACCAATACTCTTCAAGTCATCATATCAAAGCAGTTGGGCCACTAGATTGAATTGTTGCGCACAGCGCTATCAAGCTCTCACCCTCTGGACTCGAACCAAAGGCTTCAGCAGCTCCGCGCACAAAATCAGACTTTGTTCCTAAATCCGGAATATGTTCCGCTAAGGTTTCGTTCACGTTTTGTACTAGCCTCGACACCTTTGATTCAGGTTCGTCAGAAAAGGCGTCGTTTACCCCAGGGACGCCGCCCTGTTGAAGTACTGGATAGAAATTGCTTACAAACACAGACGGGGATTTGGCATATTCGAACGTCATCACGTTATAGCGTTGGAGCAAATCCTGAGCGTGTTCAGCCTTAACCTCGTAGCTTGCCCTCGTCATAGAGCTGTCGACTAATGTTGCTATTCCCTCTTCAATCCCATAGTCCGTGACTATGTCACGCCCACGCTCACCGAGGACACCGAAAGAGAAATAATCCAACATATGCGCATAGAAGCAGAAAAATTCGCAACGGAGGTCATAGCTGGCAGATGGTTCCAGTGTGGTCCCTAATGTTTCCTTGAGCATCGCTGTTACCGCACTCTCCGTTTTGAAGGTCGCTAAACCAACCTCAATGAGGTACAGCTTAAGAATTGCTTCTGCCAGCTTCTCGTCTTTACTTCGAAACAGCCCAAAGAAAGGCATATTTCCACTCCTTTGGTCGTTTAGTCCCTGGGTAGCTAAGAGGATGGCCGTATGATGACTCCCACTATCGCCCCGATGGCAGCCAGCGCAAGCATCACACCTCCTGAACAGCCGCCAATCACATTGCTCGTTAACTGCCGGTCAAATCTGGACCGAGCCGCGCAGGCGCGCAGGTATGAAGTCAAAGGCGGAACGGATGGCCTTTGTGCGCAGGGCGCTGTCGATGCTGGAACCGCCGCCGGTGTAGGCTGGCGCACCGGCCTTGACGGCGACCAGGGTCAGGTTGGCCACCGTGGCCGCCAGGTACAATTGGAATTTCGTCTTGGCGCGCCCGAAGTAGCGGGACTGGCGGATACCCAGCTGGACCAACCGCGCCAACCGGTGCTCCACCACCACCGGGCGCTGCCGGTATTCGCCAAAGGCCTCGCTCTGCTGCAGGGCCCGGGCCTGCTGCAATAAGGCCTCCTGCGGGTGCAGTTGCACCGTCCGTCCTGTGCCCGGTGCCGCGGCCACGCACTGGGTCCGCAGCGGGCACACCCCGCAGACCGCTCCATCGAACTGGAAGGCCTTCAGTTGGTGCGTGCCGCCTGTTGCTGCGGTGCGAGTACCCAAGGGCCGGATCCTCCGGGTAACGTTCCCCGCCGGACAGGTGCAACTGCCCGCCTCCAGGTCGATATGGAAGTCCTCTTTCGGAAAGTGTTTCCGGTTTGGGCGGCCCGGCACCCTGGCAATCAGTGTGCGACCCGCGTCGGCGAAGGCCTGCCTGGTATCGCCGTCTCCGTAGGCGGCATCGCCCATGGCCTCCTTCACCGGCACACCGGTGTTGGACTCGCTCGCCTCCACCAGTTCCAGCGACCCCGAGTTGTCCGGAGCGTTGCCGGGCAACACCTCCACGGCGGTGATCAGCTGGGTGTCGGTGTCCACCACAATCGCCGCCTTGTGTCCGTCGAAGCGTCTGCTGCTGCTCTTGTGCCCATGGCGCATCTCCGGGCATGCGCCGACATCATCCGGTCCCGGCTCACCCCGTCCTTGAGGCTCACTCCGTCATCAGTGCGCTCCACGTCCTGGAGCAGCAACTGCCCCAGCAACTCCGCCGCCGCCACTATCTGCTGACGCTCGGCGCTGTCCTGCGCCGAATCCCCCTGCGCCTGCCGCGACAATTCCAAGAGCCGGTCCGCGTCGGCCACAATCTCGGCCAGCAGGGCCGCCCGTGCCCGCTTGTCCGACCAGTCGATGGAGCCTCGCCCTTGATACTGGAGGCAAGGTACCGCCCATATCCCTGGGCTTTGGCCCATTCTCTTACGGTGGTCTTCCTCACTACTGCCAGCGCCCGCAGCAGCTTGACCATCCCGTCGGCCAACAGGTTGTAGGTGTCCCTCACCGCGCCCCGGCCCAGGATGTTGGTCGTGTCCAGCGCCACCTTCATGCTCCGCCTTTTCAGGTACCACGACTCCCGGGCGAGGCGCAGGCTGGACTCGAACACCTCCCGCACCCTGTCGTGCAGGATCAGCTGGGCGCGGAACACCTGCAATGTGCTCATGGCGAAGGGCCTGTCCTCCACCTCAATCCCCAACGCCACCTTCCAGCGGATGTCGAAGTCCGCTCTGGCCTTGGCCTCAGCGTCGCTCACCTTGTCGTGGGACTGGAGCAGGAGAGCCGTCGCCAGCAGGCTGGGCGGCACACTGTCCCGGCCGTTGTCGGCGCAGTAGAACTCGGCGAACTCAGCGTCCCGAAACAACCGGCCTCGCAGTGATGCCAGCAGCCCGTAGAAAGTGTCCCGCCCCACGTGGTCCAGATACAGCCGGTCCGCTTCCCAAAGACCTCTCTGGTCCGAACGCTCTCCCAGCATTCTCAGCCCTCGCTACGCTTGTTAACCCCAAGTATAGTCGCTACTCGGCTGACGCCACTTTCCGGCCAGATTTCTAGAGCTTGGCGTCGCCGAGGATCGCATCTACACTGATCACGGCTTCACCGGCACGACCCGTGCCCACCCCGGCCTCGACCAGGCCCTCACCGCCGTGCGCGAAGGAGACACGCTGGTCGTGCCGAAACTCGACCGGCTGGCAAGGTCCGTCCCAGATGCGCGCGCCATCGCCGATCAGCTTCGGGAACGAGACGTCAAACTGGCCCTCGGACGGGCGCTCTACGACCCGGGCGACCGCTGGGAAGGATGTTTCTTCAATATCCTCCCCACCTTCTCCGAGTTCGAAGCCGATCTCATCCGCATGCGCACCCGCGAGGGCATGGCCATCGCCCGCGCCAAGGGGAAATTGCGCGGCAAGCAGCCCAAACTGTCCGACAGACAGCAGCGGGAACTCTGCCGCATGCATGCCACGGGCGAGTATTCCATCAGCGATCTCGCCGAGCTCTTCTCCGTCTCAAGACCAACCGTCTATCGTACACTCAACCGGCGCCTTTCCTCTTAGCGTACGATCCTGCCCCCTACCGGAATCGACCCGACCAGGCGGGGGTCGTCAAAGGCGACTTGGATGCGGTCGAGGTGGTTCCGTTCGCTAATGGAGTATCACCAATGAAGAGTAATCATAGATTCGGCCCCCTCGATGGAAGTACAGTGGGCGTGTAGCGTATTGTTCGTGTGTGTATTGCCATGAGAACCGAAGGCGGGAAACGAAACCACGAGAGCGGAGACGTGGATGATGGAACCCATACCCCACAAGCAAACGGAACCTAAGAGGAAGTTCGCTGGTTGCTTGCTCATCTTGCTGGCCCCGCCGGCAGTCTTGACGCTCATTGTTGGATGGGTGTGGTTTGGCTGGGGCTATATCGCCTCCAACAGGCTACTTCTGAACTCCCTACCGGTGCCGCCCGAAGCCGAACGCATTTGGGTCGGCTCCCATCCTCACCATAGCGGCGAACAACTGTTCAGTTCTCCGGAAGGATGGAGCACCCGAGCGGCTTACAGGATCTCCACAGATACCACAAGAAAAGAGATTGTGGATTTCTATATGTCGAACCTTTCGCCGAGCTGGGGAGCATGTATTCATTTCGCAAGGGTTGCCGGACGCGCGGAGAGGGTGATACTCACCGGTGGCACGGTTATCTTCGTAAAAGGACGGGCATATTTGAGTATTGACACTTACTCGCTGAGCAGAGGGTATTCCGGCCCCACCTATGAAATTACCGTCGATCACGAACGGGATTCCAAATACGAATGCCCTTCTGCAGCGAACTGAACGCACAAATACTGATCGGGTAAACTGGAGATTGCAGGCAGATTCCACGCGATTACGCCACGACATTACGCCACCACGGATCGATTCTGGTAGGGAGCAGGATTGTACGATAAGGTCGCTATCGGCGTTTCGGCCACCGGTATTCGCCGGCGAGCAGGTTGAGCCCGGCCATGCGGTAGTGCTGGCCCTCGCCGCCGTGCGCGAGGGGGACACGCTGGTCGTGCCGAAACTGGACCGGCTGGCAAGGTCCGTCCCGGATGCCCGCGCCATCGCCGACCGGCTTCGGGAACGAGGCGTGAAACTGGCCCTCGGACGGGCGCTCTACGACCCGGGCGATCCCATGGGAAAGCTGTTCTTCAATATCCTCCGGCCACAAGAAGGAGGGTCTCCTCTCCTGCGAACACCCGGAGTGCCGCCTGATCCGCTAGACCGGCCTCAGGTAACAGAAAACACCAGCCACCCCGTAAACGTGAACAGGAGGTGACGCATGATCGACTGGAGCACCTGCCCAGGCGTCGAGAGCATCCCCGGCAAGCACAGCGGCGACTGGCTCTTCACCAAGACCAGGGTGCCCGTCGCAACCCTCTTCGGGAACCTTGCCACGGGGGCAACCGTCGAGGAATTCCTGGACTGGTTCGAGGGCGTCCAGGAATGGCAGGTCAGAGCAGTCCTGCAACACGTGGCCGACAACATCGACACCCAAGGTGCCTCATGAGAATCCTGTTTGACCATGACGTCCCCAGACCGCTCAGGAGACACCTGCCCGGTCACGAGGTGGACACCGCCAGGCAAAGAGGATGGGAGGAGCTCAGCAACGGGGACCTGCTCAACGTAGCAGAACGTGAGGGCTACGAAGTATTCATAACAGCGGACCAGAAGATACCTTACCAGCAAAACATCGGCCGCCGACCGTTCGGCGTCGTGATCCTGATGTCCAACAACTGGTCACAGGTTAGAGAAAACACCACCGCCGTTCAGAGCGCCCTGGAAGGGATACAGCCCGGGGAACTGAGGGTAGTACTCATACCATAGATGTAAAGGAGACGACTGTAAACTGGAGGAGCCCGGCCCGGAACAACGGCGCTGCCCCTCCCCATATCTGTAAGGCTCCGATCTGCGGCGAATCTCGATTCCTGATTCCGCCACCAGAGGCACTGACACCGGCGCAATTAGCGCAGACAGGCACAACTCGCGCCGTACTAGAAATCTGGCCGGAAAGTGGGGTCAGCCAGCTGGTGGCTATACTTGGGGTTAACAAGCGTAGCGGGGGCTGAGAATGCTGAGAGAGCGTTCGGAGCAGAGGGGTCTGTGGGAAGCGGACCGGCTGTATCTGGACCACGTGGGGAGGGACACGTTGTACGGTCTGCTGGCCTCGTTGCGGGGCCGGTTGTTCCGGGACGCCGATTTCGCCGTGTTCTACTGCGCCGACAATGGCCGGGACAGCGTGCCGCCCAGCCTGCTGGCCACGGCGCTGCTGCTCCAGTCCCACGACAAGGTCAGCGACGCCGAGGCCAAGGCCCGGGCCGACTTCGACATCCGCTGGAAGGTGGCCTGGGGATTGAGGTGGAGGACAGGCCCTTCGCCAAGAGCACACTGCAGGTGTTTCGCGCCCAGCTGATCCTGCACGACAGGGTGCGGGAGGTATTCGAGTCCAGCCTGCGCTGCCCGGGAGTCGGGGTACCTGAAAAGGCGGAGCATGAAGGTGGCTCTGGACACGACCAACATCCTGGGCCGGGGCGCGGTGAAGGACACCTACAATCTGCTGGCCGACGGGATCGTCAAGCTGCTGCGGGCGCTGGCGCAGGTTGAGGGAATCAGCGTCGGGAAATGGGCCAAGGCCCGGGGATACGGGCGGTACCTCTGCCTCCAGCATCAAGGCGAGGCGCCATCGACTGGTCGGACAAGCGGGCGCGGACAGGCCCTGCTGGCCGGGATTGTGGCCGACGCGGACCGGCTGCTGGAGTTGTCGCGGCTGGCGCAGGGGGAATTGGCGGAGGACAGCGCCGAGCGTCAGCAGATAGTGGCGGCGGCGGAGTTGCTGGGGCAGTTGCTGCTCCAGGACATTGAGCGCAAGGGTGCGATGGCGACGGCGATGACGGCGTGAGCCTCAAGGGTGGGGTGAGCAAGGACCGGATGATGTCGGTGCATGACCCGGAGATGCGCCACGGGCACAAGAGCAGCAGGAGACGCTTCGACGGACACAAGGCGGCCATCGTCGTGGACACCGACACCCAGCTGATCACCGCCGTGGAGGTGTTGCCGGGCAACGCTCCGGACAACCTGGGGGCGCTGGAGCTGGTGGAGGAGAGCGAGGCCAACACCGGTGTGCCGGTGCAGGAGGCCATGGGCGACGCCGCCTATGGGGACGGCGGGACCCGCCAAGCCTTCGCCGATGCGGGCCGCAAGCTGGTAGCCCGGGTGCCGGCCGCCCCGACCGGCAGCGCTTTCCCAAGGATGACTTTGTCATCGACCTGGCGGCGGGCAGTTGCACCTGTCCGGCGGGACGGCTTACCCACACCATCGTGCCGGCGGGAAGCGGACTGATGGCAAGGGACGGGTTCACCACCTGCGGGCCTTCCAGTTCGACGGGTCCGAATGTATGACCTGTCCACTGCGGTCCCAGTGCATCTCGGCCAAAGGCAGGAAGGGACGGTGGGTGCTGATCCATCCCCAGGAAGCCCTGTTGCAGCAGGCCCGGGCATTGCAACAGAGCGCCGGGTATGACGAATATCGAGCGCGCCGAGTGGTGGTGGAACACAGGTTGGCCCGACTGGTCCATTTGGGCATCCGCCAGTCCCGCTATTTCGGCAGGGTCAAGACGAATTCCAGCTGTACCTGGCGGCCACGGTGGCCAACCTGACCCTGGTGGCGGCCAAGGCCGGCCTGCCAGGCGGCACCGGCGGCGGTTGCAGTGTCGGCAGCTCCCTGCGCACAAAGGCCATCCGTTCCGCCCTTGACTTCGTCCCTGCGCGGCTCGGTCAAGTCTTGCCCCTGGCCTTGCTTGCGTCGGCCTCACTGCCGAAATTCATCCCATTCATCTCCCCGGAAAAGGCTTTCCGGCCAGATTCTAGCGCCGTCCAAACCGCCTTCTGTATTCCTCACTGAGTTGCTCTTGTTCCTTCTGCAGGACGTCGGCCAGATAAGCCAGGGCACCATCAACCGAAACGGTCGGGGGAGCGGCGAGCGTTAGTTCGACGTTCAGTCCTTCGAACACTCTCTCCTGGTACGCCAACCACGCCAGGCGGGGAACTTCTGCATAAGGACCGTCAGGACCGTACGAGGTGGCCTCCAGTATCGCCTCCTCCAGGTTGAGTATGGCCATTTCGCGGCGCAGCTTCGCTGGGAGTATTTCCTGCCAGTAGAGTTGGAGGCCAAGGGATTCGAGGTAGGCCTCTCCCTCTTTCAGCGATTGCTCCAGTAGGCGCCAGTCGTTCCCCTTCATGGACTCCATGAGCTCAGACGGCGTCAGGTCTTCTAGAGTCCTTCTGATGTCGGGGTGCCCTGTCTCTGCCGCCAGTTTTCCGAATCCGGCAAGGTCCAGATTCCGTGCCAACCTCGCCAACTGGACGACGTCGTGGAAACTCTCCCACCGGAGCCGGTCCAGGTCGATGCGGGCTGAGACCTCTCCCCGGGAAGGAGCATGTCCATCGGCAACCGCGCTCTGGTAGAGGGCGGAGTCCCTGATGGCACCTGCAAGCGCGAGGGTTTCGGGGCCGTAGAAGTTCACGCGGTCGTTCCACCGTTGCTGGTAATCATTGGAGGCTTGTTCATCAATGAGCAACCCAAATTCCGCGTTTTCGATGGTTATTTCTATGATGTGGAGCCAGTCGGCGTAGTGGGACAGGAGGATGCACTGGCTGTCGATGCGGGCTATGGCCGGGTCGTCACCCCACGCCAGGGAGTCGCAGTCGGGACGGTAGGGCAACGCCCAAACGGCAGCAATCAGAGCGGCCAAGCAGACGGGCGGAAGCCAGGGACGGATGACAGAGGGAATCATGAGCGCTCCGGTCCAGCCATGGTGCAGCAGAATTCGACGCTGTCGAGGTATCCATCTCAGGGAGCTGGGTTGATAAGCAAGATCCGCTCACTGCGCCAGAGGGTCTACGCCAAGTACCTGGGCAGAGGCCTCGTTGAAGTCGTGCCCAATTCACGCATCACGGAACGATTCCAACGCAACTGGCGTATATGCTAAGGGGGGGTGCGCTTCGCACGAAATCGGGATTGACGAATAC